ATCCCTAATCGCACAACCTCGATTGGATGGAATCTCCAGCAGGTGTGCGTTTACTGGATTCGCGGCTCTTTTCGCAGGAACTTTTACTTTCCAGAGCGCTTTCCACCTCGGTTGGAAAACGGTATACGCTTCGTAGTTTGCGAGCCAAGTCATGCGAGCCTTGACTTGGACTGCAACCGTTTTTGGACGATCTTGCGCGACGGCCCTTTGTTGCTCCAGACCGGTCGCTGAGAGGCTCTAGATGACTGCTGAACGGCCAATGCTGCTAAAGTTCGCACGCCGCAGCTGCTCACGTCTGCCTCTGTTTCACCCGGTTTGCGAGCGTTGTTGGTGTTTTGGTTTCTGTGTTTGCGTCGTTAGGTTTTAGGGACTGAGCGCTGCTGACGCAGTCAACGAAGCCTGCTGAAGCCAAAAAACCGAAGCCAGGACAGAGTTCGAACTCCAGATTGAACTTGAGTTTACGAAGGTCGAACCCAAGGTTCAACCCTGAGTTCCGATATTATGTGCTGTCTCTTCCTCTTGGAGTTCGAACCCAGGGTTTGGAAACATTCCATACGTATGCTCAGAGCGTGCATGCGAGCATAGCGTCGGTTTTGGAGATCGGCTGAGGCACAAGAGCTGTCAGTGAAGAGTGGCAACTAGCGAGGCATGCAGGTTTTCAACCCGCGCGAGCTCTTCAGTCTTGAAAGGAGGGATGACAGAGCCGTGCTCCAACGCGGAAAGCAAGATAGTGCCTACTGTGATGGCTTACCTCGCATCGGCTCCACCAGTACAGCTGGATAATAGCGCACGGAGCAGGTGACGCGATAGTACTCTCAACAGCTTCAAGCAGGAAGTAGAGCCAGTTATGTCTTGTAGCACAGGCCTCGTCGACGGCGGCTGCCACGCTCGGTCTTCACAAGAGTCTAAGAGAAGAAGAAGCAAATGGGGCAGCCTCGGCTTTGTGGTGCTGACACTCTGCCTGGAACCCGGAGCTCAAGTTTTGCGTGGTTCTGCGCTGGCCTGTCGTAGGAGCTTGGCAGCGAGCTTATCCGCGACCGTATTGGCACTGCGTGGGATTTGTTCCCATGTCGTGTGTACATGAAGACGGCCTGGACGACTCCATGCGCATCGCCCAGCAAGTGAGGTCCTGTGCAACCTGCCGTAGCTAACAAGGTCTAGCCATGGGTCGTGCCACCTCTTTCTCCCTCTTCTGCAAGCAGGCTTTCAAGTCCTTCAGCATCATTGCTTTTGCGGTATGCGAGTTCGCGACGGTGTCGCCGACCAGGGAATCAAACACGCGGCCAGTTTCTTTTCCTGGTGTCACCAGGTTATAGAAGAACATCCTCCCTGCGCAGACCCGGCTATCGTTTGGTATTTGTGCACCTCTGGGGACGTCAGTATCCTTGTGACAAGACACTTCATTGGCGCGTATGCTGCGCGAGTCCACATTGAGTTGCCTGCCCCGTTGGTACAACTCTTGTCCGGCCCATGCAAGTGCAAGTGCAAGTCAGCGTTACTTTTTAATGCTGCTCCCACTAGCAAGCAGTTAGCTACTCTAGATCGTACACCCTGGGGCCCGAAGCTTTGTACGCAAGATGCTACTGTGTTACGCTTTTCCCTCACCGGTGCACCGATCAATGTCGATAGTGGGCAAGCCGCTACCATTCTTGCGCCCGTTCAAAGGAGCCGCACAGGTCACAAGGCCGCTTCCAGCATTACGCGAGAGCGCAAGCTCTTCAGGCCACTCCGAAAGTCGATGCCTGAAAGATCCTTGTGTTGCCGAGCATGTTTATCTAGCTGCCTGCATTATACTCAACAGGATATTCCACCGGCAGCATCCATGCAAGCTGGCATCTTAGCGGCTAATGCCATTTCGTCATTGGGGGGACGGCCTTAGATTGAATCGAAATTTTTTTTTGAGGCAGTTCTACGGATCTTTCGCTTGCTTCAACCTGGTTCATGCTTTCTTGATGCACCATCCAAGAAGGGCTTGGATTTCTTCTTCGCCTTGAGCCCCGCTTAGCGCTTTCAGCGTTGGGAGGTGTGGTAGGGTTGGCGCGGTCTCGGAGGCCTTTACTTCATCACCTCCTGACAGCGGTCAACACTAGCTTTGGACAAAAGTTGACGCAGCGATCCCTCTTAAACGTACTTTGAGGGAAAAAGCCAGCTCTCTCCTAGTCGAAAGGGCATCACAGGATGAGTCCAGAATGAGGCCGTACGCACGTTGCTTCCAGTTTATAAGCGATGTTTGAGGGAGGCCCAAGGTGAGGGCCGCTCTCCAATACGTACTCGGTCGATTTCACAACACTTTGTATGACAACGACACGCTAACCTGGTTTGCCAAGTTTGTACGGTGCCCCTCCACTGCTACATTGCTGCTACATCCACAGTGTCACGTGCATATACATTACGATGGCTGCTGGGCGAGGAAGCTTTTGCTGACTTTGTGTATCGCATCCAGTACTGCCGGCCTGAAGTATGCGGGGGATGCTTGGCACAGGTCCCCAAAGACTTGCTGTACAAGTATGGATGCCATAGTCAAACTGCATTGTGCATTGCATGTACCCAAAGACTTGCTATGCCGACGGCCCAGAGATGGCGACGCCAAACACCGCTACTCAGGGGACTTTGCTCACTACCCACTGTCGTGATTTCCCCACAACTACTGAAACTACTGTCTGCGGTTCAAGTTGGGGTTAGAGTTCGGGTTTGTCCGAACCCACAACCTCAGGTTTAGGTTGTTGGATCACTCTCCTCGGACCCAGCCTCGGGCAACAACCCGGGTTCAACCCCAACCCTCGAAGTCATCACTGATCTGCAGGGCCTGGAGCGGACCGCGCCCTTTCTTCACCATTTAATCCGGGTGATTTCTTTCACTCAAAGAACATAGGGTCCACAGGTCGAGTCAAATGCCACGATTTCTTCGGATTGGTTTGTGCTATTGGTGATTGCTGAGCGTCTGCCAGGCTTCTCATCACGACATGTTGTTGTCCAAGACCCGTTATGCGACAGGACTGGAACGGCGGCCGGACCGTAACGGCCGGAGTCTTGTTTTTGAACTTCAGACTTCGCCTGGATACTTGGAGCTGCTCCTTACTCCTGGCCAGCTGCTGAGCCCGACGGGAGAAAGAGTGGGTGGAATTGACCGGCTGTTGCTGACTAGTCCGCTTGCCGCAGTTTTTCTATTCTTTGATCTTGTTAAGCTCAGCACACCTCTTTCATCGCTTTTGTGTGTTTTTTTTGTTTGTGTTGTTTCTCTAGGAACCGAGATCTGCTGCTGCAGTCGACGAGGCTGCATCTCCGCCTGACAGCCGAAAGATCCTGCCTTAGCTTTTCAGTTTTCATCTCGGCTTGTAGTTGTGCCGACCATTGCTTGCCTACGCGCTGCTGACTAACTGCTTGTAGCTTTTCACATTAGCCTGCAACGACGAGTGTGTTTTTGTTTCTCAGCTGAACGCAGAGCTTCTGAGCACATGCTTGGAGCGTTGTTTCACGTTTTAGGGTTTTGTGACTTTCTTGCGGTTGCTGCGTTTATAGCGTACCGCAGCTGATGCTGCTTTAGAGGCCGAATCACTCCAACAGAAAGGTTTTGGTAGTTTTCTCGTCGTGATGTTTTCCTGTTGGTGTGATGGTCGTTGTCGATTCTTGATTCGGCAGGTCGTGGTCGTCTTGGTAGTCGTGGTTGTAGTGCCGTTGAGTTGCACATTCATTGTTTGGAGACGTATGCTGGTAAAGTTTCGTTAAGTTGCACATGAAGATTTGTGGATCAATGCGGTGTGTTCGGCATTGAGTACAGATTCACGCTCGAAACCATGACAAGCAGACAACAAGTTGTTCCTTGCTAGTATGGACAAGTACAAGTCGGTACCTATGATTACTCGGTCTAGAGGCCAAGCAACATGGAAGGTGCCACATCGCATTGAGCCTCGACCTCCCATGATAGCGCCATCCAAACTCAAGCCGGAAGTATTGTATCAACTGACCCCAGTTCGTTTTTTGAGACAAGCACGTGATGCAGTGCAGCCTGTGGCGCGATCATGGACATCGGCAAAGTGGGACGCTCAGTTCTGTGAGCCGAGTCGCCTAACGGTTTTTTACTTGCAAACGCTGTGTTGTTTGCGTTATTGCGGAGCATATAGGGTGTCGAAAAAGCTCACATCCACGTCTTTTCCTACTGTGAAGTCGTTTGTATTCGGCGCAAACACCGGGGCAGAGCATCGGGAGTCGGAAGTGCTCCCTCCACACACCATCTCAAGAAAAGCACAAGCTCTACTGAGGTCCTTGATGTGCTGCGGCGTTGCGAATTCTCTTCTTCAAAGGTTCGGGAACCAGAATTTGATGTGCTGGCTTGACAAAAGACTATTTGGCCGTAGACACAGGTGGCAGTTCTAATCGGCTTTCTCGCCTCGGTTCGAAGCGTCCGCGACTCACAAGTCGTGGCAGCAAGTTTGGTGCTTCGATCAGTTTGGTCCACTTCCGTGGGTTGAGGCTCCTGTCTTCTTGTCGACCTTGCTGTCCCTGTCATTCCTGCTTTGGTACAGCCAGCTGCTTACGTTCTGCACTCAAACAGTTTGGAATGCATCTGCAGCACTGGTGTGTCCGAGGCTACGACTTGACTCGTGTTTGTGATGAGCAGAAAGCAACACTTTGGGCCAAGTGTGTTCCCTACTCAGAAAGCTCATGTGCTGAGTCGGCTGTTTCTGATGCAAGTCGGTGTTGATCCGTTCGGTACATATTTTGTGTCGTTCCAGCGTCCGCAATAGATACAAGGCTGTCGATTGATTCACTTTATTGCGTACGGTCATGTGAAGGCTCGAAATATTCGATCATGGACAGTGGTATTGCATGTGTGAGATAACCTTCCCACCCGCCTGATGTGGGCTGCAACCATCACTTGAACGGGTCGAGTGGCCTAGCTTGCTGCAATGTTTTTTGTTTTGAATCTCGTTGTGGTGCGCGACGAGCTTTTGAACAAGGGTCGGGCATCAAGCCGGGCGAGGAGAAAGGCGAGGTTTGCAATGAAACGTACACGTGGAACGCTTGGAAGAGTCCTGAAGTCTCTAGCCGCAAAGTGGTTTGGCAAGGTTCTTCCCGTGCGTGTTGCCGGGTTTGCTGAGCAATTTGGCAAAGGCGGAACGGGGGGGCAACGTGCCGTGGGCCGTTTGCGGCGCAACTCGCAGCCGTCGCAGCCATCGCTTCCAGGCTCGACCTGGGGTCCGATGTCACGTTGGGCTCCAGAGAGTGCATGTGTCGCCAGCGCCAGCGCCCTAAGCCTTCTCTCGTCTGGTCTGGTCGTGCGACATTGAGCTTGCGGGCCCATCAGGTGCTATCTCCTGATTTCTCTGATGCTGCTGCGGTGAAGCGCTTCGATGCAGTGAGACGGCATGCACCTTTTCTGATTTGGATTGGCAGAAGTTACGAACGGCCTGCAGGCAACGGCGCCAGCTGGCATCATGTTCTGCCCGATTCGTAGCTCAGGTGCAATGCATTTTTGCAGCAAGAGCGAAGTTGTGGGGTGAGAGGCTTACCGGTGTCGTGCAATTTCCGGTGCTGGTGCTCTCAATGTGTCAGGCAATGACTGGTGTCCGCAAGCTTGTGGTGCAGACTCAGAGGAGGCAATTCTGGCAGTTAATGTGGCACTGTGTCTTCCGCGGCTGCTGCGCTTCTGCTTGATGGTCAAGCAAGGGGCAGCTCTGGATGGCTTTGTGTTTGAGATTCGTGGAAGAAATTACTGCGATGAGCTTGCGAGCTTCGCGACGACTGTTCGGAAAGTTCTGACGGGTCTTAGTGCTGGCGACCCTTCCGGCACAGACTGCTTCAAGGGGAGAGTGGATGGCCGTGGCTGGTATTTTCAATTTGCTCGAGAGCCAATCTTCGTTACCACTTTTGCGCCTTGTTATGACAGTGCGCATCCGAGATACCAATTCAACCAACACACAGACTCCTGCTTCATTCTCCTGCAGCCAGAGGAATCATTCCTCCGGCATGATCTCCCCCCAGACAAGCCGCGAAGTGCGACGAACTGGGAAACACCAGCCGACGTTCGTGATCGCATTCGGGCCAACTTTCGGCGCCATGGACGAGAGTACCGCATTCCTGAGACGACCTCATATCCCCCTGCAGATTTCATCGTTGCACCCATGGATGCGCTTCGTGACTCTCCTGTGCGGTTCTGGGAACAAGGTGAGACGAGCTCAGATAGTTTTCTCGCTTTCTCGCAGCCGGCCTTAATTTCAGGAATGTTGTTGGATCAAGTCAGACCAGCCTCATGCATAGAAACATCGGGGCAAGCAGCACTGGCAACCACAACAGCAAGCCGTGGCAAAATGAGGAGTGAGAGCAGACAAGGAGTCGCATCATCATCGTCGTCATCATCATCACCAATCACCATCATCAACGACATCATCATCATCATCATCATCTTCATCCGCATCATTATCAGCATCCAAATCGCTATCCTCGTAATCATCCTGATCATCATCCTCATCATCCCCATCATCCCCATCATCATCGTCATCATCGTCCTCATCATCATCATCAGCTGCACAATCAACATCATGGTTTCCTCGTTATCCTCATCGTCATCGCCACGGCATCAATAGAACCACGATCGCGGTCACTAGTGGTGTCAAGTTGTACTAGTAAACCCCGCAAACATAAACCAAACCAGACCCCAAACCCCTGGAGCCTAAATCCCTCAGCTCTGAACCTCAACTCTGACACCTTGTAGAACCCTGTCCAGGCCCCATATAGCAGTATAGAACCCTGTAAAACCACGTGAAAGGCTTGGAACACAAAGGCCTTTACCTCCCGAAACCCTTCAGGAGGCACGTGCCTTACTAGTATTCATCATCACACCATCATCATCCTTACCAGCCCGACCTGCCTACCTCCCTGCTTACTTGTCTACCTACCTGCCTACCTACCTACCTAACTACTGACCTGCCCACCCACCTATCCTAATCAAACTGAACCTGACCCAACCTAACCTTAGCCAACCAACATCTACCTGCCCCCTTACCTCCTGCCTGCCTGCCCAGACCAGCCCTAGACCCTTCCTTCCCCCAACCCTCTCCGCCGCCCTCCCTCCCCTCGCAACCTATCATCATTCTCCTCCTCCTCCTCCTCCTCCTCATCATCATCATCATCATCTTCATCGTCAGCATCATCACGATTTGCCATTGTCATCATTTTCATCGCCATGGTATCGCAGCAACAGCAGAAAAGGTCTCACTCAATCAATGGCCACTGCAAAAAGATTACAGCAATATAACGAATGACAAGATATGTAAAGGAAGCAGACTAGACACAAGAACAGCAGCGGATCAGCAGACCAACTTGGAACAACACAATGCAAAGATGGGATTTTAAGCCTCCTTGCTCGAAGCACTGAGCAGTGCTGTCTCACGAATCGCCAAGCAGTGGCAATGGGAAGTTCTGACCTCAGTCATTGGGCTGGACATGGCACGAAGGCAGAGTACGCGTGAGCCGGAGGTATTTTGTTTTGCTTTTCAGGTGCCATCAATGCAGTGGCCTTTCCCGCGCCGCACTTGGGCAAAGCATTCTATCAGGCCTCTTTCCGGCGTGTTTCGTTGCTTAATCGAGACGGCATGCAAACGTTCAGTCAAGAAGTGCGGCCCCGCTTTTCTTGATTCCGGAATTTTAGGGTTGAGGAGGCCCAGTAAGGAAGAAATGACACACAAGCGTTGGGCATCCTTCACGTCTTAGCTAGACAGCATTGTGCAATGTGGCATCATCCGGCTGACATGGCGGTTGCACCGTGCTTCATGTTGCATGGCTTTCCGCCACTGCTTCTACGTTTCTAGTCCTCTCGCACATATCGCGGACAGGATGAGCTCCTGCGAAGGTCGACCGTTTTGAGAACGGGTGGCGGCAGTAGAGCCGTGATCTTTCTTGCTTATCTCTAGCCTCCATGTGCAGACAGGCGAGATCTGGTGTTCCTGAAAACGGACCAGGATGAGTCTATCCCAGCCTGTCACGTCCGTGCGCAGCGCCAGGCTCCCAGGTTCACCTAAGCTTTGCCCGGTAACTATTAACTATCACTGCTGGATTCAGGAAAGCATTCCTTTCTCTCTACACCTCCGGTGACAATACTGTACAGCCATGGAAATGCTGAGGCAGCTGACCCCTAAACTGGCATCGCTGCGGTTGTATTCTCGCATCGTGACAGGATGTTGGATTGCACCTGGATTACATTGATGCTCTTGCAGAATATACAGGCGCACTGGTAAGACTGACAGATTGTCGCGATAACCAGGGCTGCCGAGATCTGCTGAGGCGCAGATGTGTTCAGCTATGAGTACGTGGGCTACTCACTTTCACGGCTGGACGGCGACACCCCCTCCGAGGCAGCTCAGATGGGATTTGCGAGGCACCTTTCCCGGCCTTGTCTTGTAGGCCGGATGCATTCGAAGCATTGATGCAGCAGCTATCTCAGCAGTGCTGCATCCGAATCGTTCAAGAACTTTGCAACATCCATTCTGGAGCACAGAGGCTTGGCGATACCTTGTAGACGAGCAGAAGATCCATCCAAGACGGATTGCCACGGACTTGGATGTGGGGTGTGTTACTGTCGAACTTCAATTGTCACATACCCCAAAAAGTTGTACATCAACTGATGATGGCCCACCGAATTCCTCAGATGTGTAATGTCTCGTGGGTGAAGATCATGTCCTTCAATAATGAAAGGCACACAGCTGCATTCTCTGTCGACCGTATTTCGTCCCGGGGCGTAAGTGCTCCACAGCCTTGCTAATCCAAGCAGTGTGCTGCCTCATTGCTGCGGGTTTGACTAGTCCTGCAGCTTCTTAGTGTTTCGGAGATATTCCAGTAGCCTTGGAAGTCTTCGAAGAGGTCAAAAATCATCCAGGAAAGTCGTTGCACAATAGCATCGATGCCGTGTTGGGGTATCCGTGCTACAGATCAGGCTGGACACATGTTGATCACGTTTCGGCTACATTTGCAGCTGGTTGTTGTAGCCAGTTCTATGTCCTAGGCTACAAGCCGTTCATGTCCTCTGAGGTGATCTTCGGTCGCTCCATCGGTGCGCTGCTGTCAGTGTGTAATGTGTAGTGCATCGTAAGAACTTTTCTGCAGCTCTCCTAGTTCTCCTCAGGTTCTGGTCCGAGCGTGGACCTTGCCTCCAGAAGTGAAGTTGAGGTGCAAAGCTGACGCCATGGCTTTGATTATCTTGCAGATGTAGGCTCGTGGTGTCATTTTCGAGCCCCAGGGAACAGAGTTCTCGCCATTGGATGCAGCTGGGGTGATCCTTCAATCTCCGCTGGAAAGCACGGGCCCTCTGCAGCTACTGCTGGGCATCGCAGTTTCTGTGTGTGTTTAAGCACGACGTGATGCAATGGAAGCTAGGTGGTGCTTACGTCGTCGTGGGCTCGGAGTTGACAAGGCTAAGTCCTGTCGCGTTACGTAGGCCAGATTCTTTTCAGAGGTTCTGGGCGGCACGGCAGCGACTTTGGGCAGTGAGCCCATGAAGCAATGTTGCTACGCTTGCCTATAAGATGGGTTTCAGTCCCAGGCTACTACCTGGATATCTTCCGCAACTACGAGAAGATCGGAAACATCAAAGCTCCGGCCACTTCGCTTCTGAATTGGTTGCGCAACGAATGCTGTGGCGGAAGACCTAAGTGGAGACACGAACAGACCGAGGTTGCAATCATGCACGGAACAGATGATGAAGTTGTCCCCTTCTCGAATGGAGAGGCTTGGATCGTAGAACGTCGTTTTCGAGACTACATGGACTGTTGAATAAGGCAAATGCACACCACAAGACAGTTGACGAAAGAGTGAGAGAGCACTAGAGAGAGAGAGAGAGAGAGACAGAGAGAGAGAGAGAGAGAGAGAGAGAGAGAGAGAGAGAGAGAGAGAGAGAGAGAGAGAGAGAGAGAGAGAGAGAGAGAGAGAGAGAGAGAGAGACAGAGAGAGAGAGAGAGAGAGTGAGTGAGTGAGTGAGTGAGTGAGTGAGTGAGAGAGAGGAAAGACCCCCTTTCCAGAGCCAGAGGGGGACTTTTGCTCAGCCAGGGGGTGATGCCCTAGCGTCTCAGTGTCTGTGCCGTAGTCTTGTTGCTGGTAAGCTCCTGTTAGGCTGATTGAAGCCGCCACTTGGTACGAGTCGGGGGGAAACCGGTTGCTGCAGGGACAAAGGAGTTTGCCTTCGGGGGCGCGGTGATGAGGCCTGGATGCGCGATAAAGTTCAGGGTCGGGGGATCGCAGCAACCGGCAACCGCCTTTGGTACCGACCTCCGGATTGAAGATCAATCCGTGGGACCCCAAAGCTTCTGCTTTCTGAGCCAAAGAGGGTGGGGGGCGACTTGGGCTCGGGTCTAGCATGCTGGACCTTGACCCGCAGCAAACAAGCAAGCAAGCGAGCCAGAGAGAGAGGGAGAGAGAGAGGCACAGGCGTAGTGCGCCTGCGAAGGCGACGGGGGCTTGCAGCCCTAACCCCATCCGTGAAGCAAACAAGCAAGCAAGAGAGAGAGAGAGAGAGAGAGAGAGAGAAAGAGAGCCCCACCTCCCCCAACCCCGAGCAAAGGCAGAGAGAGAAAGAGAGAGAGAGAGAGAGAGAGAGAGAGCGGCGCGAGGGCCTCGAACGCTGGAGCCCATACATATCGCAAGCAAGACACTCACGTAATGACCCTGTGCAGGCTTTTGAGGAACTGTTCAAGGGATCCTTTCTTTCCCCCCGTTGCAGCCCGCAGCGATGGCCAGCGCCGGTTCGGACGTGGAGCTCCTGCTGGAGGACCAGCGCCCGGAGCGCCGCAGCTTCGCGTTCCCGCGGCGCGTGGCCTTGGCGCTGGGCTGTGTGGGGCTTGTGACGGTTGGCGTCCTGGCACGCGGCGGAACCCGTGGCCTCCGCAGCAAGTCGGGTGCTTTCGTGCTCTTGGATGCCGCGGCAGACTGCTTCGAGGCTTCCACCTACTACAGCAGCCCGATCAAGATGGCTGGAACGGAAAGGACCAGCGAGATGACGCAGGAGGCCTGCCAACAGCGTTGCTTCTCCGTTGACGGGTGCGCACACTTCACTTTCTGGCCTGATGGGGGCTGCCTGTTGACAGATGAGTCATCGGTTGCTTCACCTGCCCCAGAGAAGTATGCAGAGACAGTATCCGGACCACCATACTGCGGGGAGAAGCCCGCAGCTGTGGACACCGATGTTGACATTGACATTGAAGATGGGGAGGAGAAGGCAAGTGTTGATACTCCTACACTTGCTCCAGTTCCCACTGTGGCACCCTTGGTAGTTCCTGGCATCAACGGAACCACGTGTGCCAAGTATCCTGCCTGTGTTGCTCACGGAATCGAGGAGGGGAATTGCTGCCCCAATGATGATAACGTGGCCCTTGGTTGCTGCATGGGATTTCCACCCGTGGTCGCTGCGCCGAAGATCGCTGCTGGGACGGAATGCTCATCCTTTCCTTCATGCGTAGCACTCAACATCACTGGAGCTTGCTGCCCGACTCCTGATGGCACTCGCCTGGGCTGCTGTGACTCGATCTAGACCATGCGCCCATGCTGAATTCGGTGCTGTAGATTCGTGTAGGGCTGGTTGCGATGACGGCCACCCGAGAATGATTTTCGTTGCTGTAGGACCGACTTATTTTTGGACGCAAGAACCGTGCACGAAGCCTGTGTGATGCGACCAAGTGTCAGATCGAATCTAGGTCCATTCCCAGCACGCAACATCCACAGCAGTGCTGTCAGTCCGTCATTGCAATTGTGGGCTGCTTCATCAGAGTCATGCTTCGTCTTGCGTGGCAGGTGCATCTCTCATAGCGCGGTGCAGATTATCATCAACAGCGGTTGATGCATTTACAGACAACATATAGGGGTTTCTGCTGGACTAGACATGCACCGGTTTGGCATGGTGCAATATTTTGCTGACAGGGGTAAGTGTTTCTGTACATTCGAGGCCCACAGTGAGCCGATGCTGCTCGATTTACCTTTCTTGTAGGACGTATTGCAGTCCTCTCGTTGGATGTTTCGTCCTCAAAGTGGCATGTGGGATGCTTCAGTCACGAAGTGGGGTTGCGAGGCCCTTCATCGCAAGCTGCAGCAGCCTCACGCGCCGCATCGGCCCCACAAAACGAGGACTCCCGACTTCCGGACTTCGTGCATCTGTGGCATTTCAGGCTGTGGCTGGAAGGCTACGGGCACAACAACATGCCCCAGGCCAAAAGCGTGTGATGGTCATTACTGTTCATCTATTGAGCTGTATCTGAATCGCCTTCTCCACACAGCTGAGTGCAGGAAGACTGCTTCCGGTATGCCAGGGACTTTATCGAATCTCTAAGTCGCGAGCTTGGGCCCGCGGTGGCATCATCTACTTAATTTGTTGACACTCTGCTCTGTCGCTCATGGTGCATGGGACGGCTTAGGCCTCGAATGACTGCTCGCCGGCAAGCGTCATCGGGGAAATCCGAGCCGAGTTTCTTTGTACAAACTCTGCATTCTAGGGACGGCGCCGGTGGAGCGTGTCACCCAAAATTTCATGCGTCAATAGACCCACAATTTCATGCGTCAATCTTTTTGGGCAGCATGCGAGCTAGCATGCTGGCCTTGAGCATTGTCAGGGCCATAGGTGCTTAAGGATCGATCCTGTGCTGTCTTCTTTCCCCCCGTTGCAGCCCGCAGCGATGGCCAGCGCCGGTTCGGACGTGGAGCTCCTGCTGGAGGACCAGCGCCCGGAGCGCCGCAGCTTCGCGTTCCCGCGGCGCGTGGCCTTGGCGCTGGGCTGTGTGGGGCTTGTGACGGTTGGCGTCCTGGCACGCGGCGGAACCCGTGGCCTCCGCAGCAAGTCGGGTGCTTTCGTGCTCTTGGATGCCGCGGCAGACTGCTTCGAGGCTTCCACCTACTACAGCAGCCCGATCAAGATGGCTGGAACGGAAAGGACCAGCGAGATGACGCAGGAGGCCTGCCAACAGCGTTGCTTCTCCGTTGACGGGTGCGCACACTTCACTTTCTGGCCTGATGGGGGCTGCCTGTTGACAGATGAGTCATCGGTTGCTTCACCTGCCCCAGAGAAGTATGCAGAGACAGTATCCGGACCACCATACTGCGGGGAGAAGCCCGCAGCTGTGGACACCGATGTTGACATTGACATTGAAGATGGGGAGGAGAAGGCAAGTGTTGATACTCCTACACTTGCTCCAGTTCCCACTGTGGCACCCTTGGTAGTTCCTGGCATCAACGGAACCACGTGTGCCAAGTATCCTGCCTGTGTTGCTCACGGAATCGAGGAGGGGAATTGCTGCCCCAATGATGATAACGTGGCCCTTGGTTGCTGCATGGGATTTCCACCCGTGGTCGCTGCGCCGAAGATCGCTGCTGGGACGGAATGCTCATCCTTTCCTTCATGCGTAGCACTCAACATCACTGGAGCTTGCTGCCCGACTCCTGATGGCACTCGCCTGGGCTGCTGTGACTCGATCTAGACCACGCGCCCATGCTGAATTCGGTGCTGTAGATTCGTGTAGGGCTGGTTGCGATGGCACGTGACATCGCGCCTAGGGCGGTGTCTGTGTGGCAGTGTTTTGGCCCGTGGCCTGTGACGGCCTTTCCTAGATTCTCTCGAAGCAGGGACTCTGACTCTCGCGATGCGTCGCTGCCCTTTTGTCAATGCAACGTCCGCTTCGGCAGATTATGCAAACGGCACACTGCAAAATGCGTATTCAAGCTGAGTGTCTTGAGCTGCGCCGCCTGCATGGTCTTGTCTTGGGGCTCTTGCTCAAACCTAGGTGTTATAGGAGGATCATTCAATCTGTCCGTGCCTATCGTGGCTGCAGGATGGAACCGCAGGCCTGCGGGCATTGAATTCGTGGGGTGTGGTATACGGTATGCCTGTCGGAAGAGCGCGAGATTGCAAAAGAGCCTTGGCCTTGCCAGGTGTTGGAGGATGCCCTCCTGGCTGCACCGCTGGAAGAGGCGCTCACTGCGCAGACCTGAGGTGGAGCCGTGAGCATCTGTCAGTCCGCCGAGATCTGCTGATCCAAGTTTAGATAAGTTTAGTGGCGACGAGCTCAGGTCATCGGAGATCTGCTGAAAGCCCGGCCGCTCGTCGCACCGTCGTGGCCTCGCAAGAAATGCTGGAGGTGAGCTCGCCGACGTGTTGGAAGTACTGTGAGTACTGTGAGGTCAATTGTCGGATTCGCGTCTCCGAACTTGTCTGGAACCTACAATGTCAATCGATGGTCTCATGCATGCTTCAGCATTCCTATTTCAAGGCAAACGGAAATGTTTCGACAATGTGTGTGTTCCTTGAGAGATCACCCTGGTTTTGGCGTGTCTCCGTGTCTGATGTTGTCTTTCCTAGAGTCCCCCAGCATCGGTGCACACCAGCAAAGTTTTGGTGTTACATGAGGTGACATTCCTGCATATGTAAGCATTGCTTCAGAGACATGTACGGCAGCCCTTTTGTTCAGCGGTGCAGAAAACATGGTAGCGGAGCCCCACTAGGGGGTCTCCTTGTAACTACGCTGCCCTTGCGAAAATTTCAGTATCACCCAATAAGAGCCCTCGCCTTCCTCTGCTGCAGTTTGATTTGCCAGAGCGACGCCACTGCTGCCCTTAACTGGGCCAGAGGCCAATCCTTTTTCTATTGGGTAAGCCCTCCTGGGTGTGAGGCGCCACCGGAGTTTGTCAGTGCGTGTGGAAGTTTTTCAGCAGAGGAGCGGGCAGCGGAGATTGCAAGGAACCAGGGTGTGTGTGCAGTTTGGTTTGGCAGGTTTTCACTTGCTGGAGTTTCGGGTACAAAGTCAGAGATGGATCAAGCAGCGCAAGCGCAACAGCAGGCACAACAGCAGGCACAACAGCAGGCACAACAGCAGGCACAGCAACAAACACAATTGCAGGCACAGCAACAAGCACAACAGCAAGCAGCGGCAGCTCAGCAAGCAGCCGCAGCCCAGGCAGCAGCACAGGCTGCCCAAGGAGTCCAGGCAGGTTCCGTCCAGCCGGGGCAAGTCTTTACAACCGAGCAAGTGGATGTCATTGTGCGGCAGCGTCTGGAACAGGCGCTTGGCAATGTCTTCGGCAAGGTGCTTGGTGCAACAGAGAGGGCGGCCACAGCCGCCGAGCAGCAGGCAAAGGCTTCAAAGCAAGACCATCTGGTCAAGGCGATCAAGGTGGATGTGTGGAAGCCGCAGAACAGAGAAGAAGAAGTGCGTACTTGGCGTGATTGGTTCTTTCAGTTCTGCACGTGGCTTTATGCAACCGACGGCGATTATGAGGAGGAGATTTCCTTGATAGATCTCGACGAGGCCTGTGATCATGATGTGATGCCAGCCCCAGCCGTGGAAAGGAGCCAAAAGCTGTTTGGGGTGCTATGTTCTTTGGTGCGAGGAAGGCCCCTTCTCATTATTCGGGGCCTCGAGAAGGACAAGAATGGCTATGAAGCGGTCAGGCTTTTGAAAAGAGAGATGGAGCCCAAGGAGCGCAGCCGCAGCTTGGCTTTTGTCAAGCAGCTCGCCAGCTGGACCTTCAAGGAGAATGCTGGCTTACATGAACAACTTATAGCCTACGAAGAAGCAATCAGGAACTATGAAGCCTCGAGTGGAAACAAGTTTCCCCCAGACCTGATCGTTGCTACCGTTGTTGGGGGGCTCTCCGAGCCTCTCAAGTCGCAGGTGCAGCTCAAGCTTACCGACAAGACCGAGTACCACGACCTGCGTGAATGGATTCTCCAATATGAAAGCATGAATGCACCATGGACGGCATCATTGAAGCCGTCCCCTTCTGCCTCAGCCAACCAAGGTGCTCAGCCAATGGAGGTTGACCAGATCAAGGGCAAGAAGGGAAAGGACAAAGGCGGCAAGAAAGGCAAGGACAAAGATGGCAAAGGTGGAAAGCATGGGAAAAAGGGCCACTGGGGAACCCAGTGGAACAGCTACTTCCCCGGAAAGGGCAAAGGAGATGGTTCCTGGAAAGGCGGCGGCTGGTATCAGCAGCCGGGCCAAGGAAAGAGCAAAGGCAAAGGGAAGAGCAAGGACGGCCGTGGGCAAAACCGTGCCCCTGGGACCTGCCACACGTGTGGCCAAGCCGGCCATTGGAAGAATGAGTGCCCACTGGCGGGAAAGGCCAAGGGCAAGGGCGCAAAGGTCCAGCAGATTGACGACGGCACGGAGTCCACAGCCCCTTCTTCGGCATCGACCGCGGCGCCTTCTACCTCTGCCACTGCTTATCGCACACCGTCTGTGCGCCAAGTCAGCGTGGCACCGATCAGCACTCCCCCTGGGTGCTCGGAGACGCTTATCTTTAACATAGCTGAAGAAGGCGACTTTGAAGATTTTTCGCTCGACGGCCCGGGGGTGATGGTCATCAAGGCAAGCTCTCTTGCTACAATCCACGAGGACTACCCGGAGGCAATCTACGATGACTACCCGGAGGCAATCTACGATGACTACCCGGAGGCAATCCACGGTGACTACCCGGACGCAATCCACGAGGACTACTTGGAGGCAATCCCAGAGCACAGCCAGCAACTTGCACAGCATGCTGGTCCCGAGGTGTATGCCCTTGACGCCACCGACCATGATGGCAATTGGACGTTCTGCCCTGAGGTCTCCAGTCAGATTTGCATGGTTGCCGCCAGCCAGGCAGAAGAGGGCATTGAGACTGAGGTTGTCGTTGATTCTGGGGCTGACGTTTCAGTTGCCCCTTTGCGGTTCTGGCGGTCAGGGAAAGCAGCTCACTGGCAACATGTGGCCATGCAGGATGCACAGGGAAGGCGCATACGGGACCATGGGGCAAGGACCTTGGATGTTGTGGTCCAGAGCACCACCGGGCAGCCAGTGACTATCAAGGAGAAGTTTGCGCTGGCCAACATTGGCTCTGTGATCCTCTCTTTGGGGAGGTTGTTGCGGGCAGGATGGTGCCTCGGCCGGGAGTCCAATGAGCATATTATTTTCAAAGATGGGTGCCGGATTCCAATCCGGCTGCGCCGGAACACTTTGGTGATGTCGGCGGTGATCTCTGTGATTGCCACCTGCGACTCTGGAGCCCTTCCGCCTGAAATGGAAGATGTGGTGCAAAAGGAAGGCTGGGCAATCTTGCCCTCAGGCTTGCCCGTCCTGGTGGCGCACAATGTCGATGAAGTGCCTCTTGGAGGTGAAGTGTGGGAACCCCAGGATTGGGATTCAATGGCTTTGTTCGTGCGGAAAGAGCCTTCCCAAAGACGGCCTCAGCCTGGAGATGTGTGGATCCAGGTGCACACCGACAAGGTGGAGAACTTCCTCACCTTGCCGAGGAGGCTAGAGGAGATCGAGAGCGAGCTTGTTGGAAAACATGATGTGGCGATTCTCTTCCACGTGGACCACCTCGAGTCTGACCTCCTGTCCGAACCCCGGGGCATCTTTAAAGAGCCGGAAGAGGACAACGAGGTTTACATGCCGGCGGGTGAGGTTGATGATGGCATGGGCGTCGGCGACGTGATCCCTGAAGTGTGGGCTGAAGGCCGAAAGGTAGACGAGCCCGAGCCGGCAGCCGAGGAACAGATCGATGATGTGAAGCTTTCGGTGGAGACGCCACTCAGGAAGCTAAAGGAGCTGTGCGTGAACTTTGGCCTCCCAACAAGCGGTGGCAAAGCAAAGGTTCTTAGAAGGTTGCGTGAACATAGAGAAGACATGGAGCGCCAATTGGCCACTGAGGTTGCGAAGAAAGTCTTCAATGAACGAAGCCGAGATGCCCTACCTCTTCGTATGCCCGCGCTCCCCTCAGCAAAGCAACAAGAGCTCCATGCAATCACGCACCAGCCCTTTGCACCGTGGTGCCAAGCATGCTTGATGGGAAGGTCGCGACAAACACCCCACGAGAGAGAAGCTGAGGGCAAGAAGGAGGATGAAAATCTCGGCAAGCCCCCGGTGATCCAGATTGACTACTGCTATACCTTTACGCGGGGCCGTGGTGTGCGCGATGTTCCTGAAGAGGAGCAAGAGGGTGAGAAGAAGGAGGAGGAGCCAGACGCCGAAGGCCCGGACTACAGAGACCAGTTTGGACTCAATCTGGTGGCAGCTGAAAGCACAACGGGCTGGGTGATGGCTCTGCCCTTGCTGGCGAAAGGCAGCAGCACCCTTAAGAAGTCAGCCGAGGCCCTTGTCAAGATGAGCATGGCAATCAATGGGACGGAACCGATCATCCTCCAGGGGGACACCGAGCCATCCATCAAGCAGCTTCTTAATGCAGTTGAGTCGTGCCGTCTCCGGCTCAACCTCAAGACGGAGCTCCGGCTCACACCACGTGAGTCACACGCTTCCAATGGAGCAGCTGAGAAGGCCGTTTCCACCATAAGGCGGCACAGCCTCACCTTGAAGGCCAGCCTCGAGGAGAACATCAAAGCGGAGGTTTCAGGGAGAATGCCGGTATTTGCTTGGTTGCTGCGGCACTCGAGCTTTGTGCACAACCGGTTCTTCATTACCAACAAAGGCCTGCCCCCCTATGAAATCGTGAACGGCCGCCAGTTTCGTGCAAAGATGCTTCCATTTGGGGAGCAGTGCATTGCCTACTGTGGCAGCAAGCATCGAGGTGAAGTTCAGTGGCGAAAGGGGATCTGGGTAGGACTTAGTGAAAAGTCCGGGGCACACATTGTGCTTACCCCAGAAGGCGGCTTTGAGACCAGATCAGTGCGCCGGTTGCCGCGCGAGCAGCAATGGTCAGCCGACTCGGTTGTGAATGCCAAGGGTTTGCCCTGGGACTTGAAGGGAGCACTCAAGAGGAGAAAGCCGATGTATGTTCAGTCCAGGGTGCCTCTTCTCCCTGACTCGGCCACCCTTGCAGACATAGCAAAAGCAGCTGGAGTAGCAGCAGCCGAGTCCATTGTTGCAGCGACGACCCCAAAGCCAGGTGGAGATGAAGCAGCCAGTGACCCTCCAAGCCCAAGCTCAAGGAGCTCCTCTACTAGCAGCCCAGCAGAGAACACAGCAAGTGCAGTAGCCCCAGCAGAGAACACATCAGGTGCAGTAGCCCCAGCAGAGAACACATCAGGTGCACCAGTTTCAGCCGAGGTTGGGGTCGGAGTGTCAGCGTCAGCAGCAAGTGGTCCCGAGAACATGGTTGTTGAAAACAGTCCAGCGGAGAGTCGTACACGCGCTGTTCCAGCCGAGCAGCCCGAAGGTGCACAGCCCAAGCGCCCACGTCTTCTACTTGATCGTCCTCAGCCAGGCTCCTCCCCGCAAGCTTCAAGCCCAGGTCCTCTCTATCCCCCAGGATATGCCGGAGTGAACGAGCTGCATGCCGACATCTCAATGGAAGAGCTCACCGGCTGGGAGGAATGGGCAGATGAAGTGACGCCAATGCTTGAGAATGAAGAGCACCATGGTGATGGCAATTGGGGCCCAGGCGGGGATGATGATAGACCGCCGGAGGCTACACATGAAGAGCTGGAGCAGCTAGATATGGAAGCCGACAAGAAGGAGGTGGAAAGGTTAGTGAAAATGGGAGTCTTGCGAGCGCCCAAGCCGGGCGAGGATCTTTCACAACACAGCTTGCTCAGCACTCGCATGGTGCATGATTGGAGACGCCGTCCTGATTGGGTGCGGCGCGCAAGGCTCGTTGCAAGGCAGTTCAAAACTTGGGAGCCGTGGCACGCTGAGCTCTTTGCGCCATCCTCCAACCTCATGATCGTGCACTCCCTCCTCTCGACAGCGCTTAGCGAGAACCTCGAGGTGTGCACCATTGACGTGAAAGACGCATACCTCAATGTTCCCCAAAAGGAAAGGGTTATTGTGGAGGTGGACGAGCGGCTTGTCGGAGGTGCTCAGCGGCGAATGGTTCCATACATTTTGGAATTCATGTTGCCAGGGCAAAGGTGTGCAGCGTCGGAGTGGTTTCAGTTCATGAAGGGCTTGCTGCAAGAGGGCGGCATGGAAGGCTACATGAAAGAGCCCACGCTGTTCCGTGCCAGCGGCCAGGACAAGACCAAGCTGGTACTCCATGCAGATGATGGAATCATTGCCTCGACTCGTGAGGCCAGAGAGCAGCTTGTAAACCAGCTGAGCAGCAAGGTCACCGTGCAGGTCAGCGAGCCCCTCTCTTTTGAGAATCCCCTCGAGTTCCTGAAGCGGAAGTACGTTATGGATGAAAATGGGGTGATCATGTTCTCCTCCACCAAGTACCTTGAGGCCCTCCTCAAGTCCCTTGGGAGCATCAAGGCCCGAGAGACACCGTGCAATCAAAGCTTCCTCGAACCAGACACTAGCCCAACCTTGGGGCCAGAGCAGGCCAAGCTTTACCGAGAAGGAGTGGGCAGGCTTCTCTACCTGTCCCACACAAGGTGTGACATTCAGTTTGCAGTGTGTTGCCTCGCTAGCAGCATGGCAGCTCCCACGGTAGAGTCTCTCCGCAAGCTCAAGCATGTGGCTGGTTACTTGATGCGATTGCCCATCCTGGGCTTCAGAATCCATGGGATCAGGGCAAGCGCCTGCGTGGATTTTCCAGGAATGGGGCCAGCCTCTCCTGGGGACATCGTTGTCATCGAGAGCGTGACCGATGCTGATTGGGCCGGGCATAAGAAAGACCGAAGGAGCAGATCCTCGATTCAGCTTTACCTGGGCGGCACCCTTATTGCCAGCCTAGTTCGGACACAAAAGAACATTGCGCTGTCAAGTGCTGAGAGCGAGTTCTATGCAATGCTCCATGGTGCGGCGGAGATCATTTACCTCAAGGACTGCTTTATCTTCATGACCAAGAATGCCTATCAGGTGGACGCCGTCTTGCGCACGGACTCAGCAGCAGCACGAGGGATCTCGCAACGAATGGGGTGCGGACGGGTCAGGCACATAGCCTGTGGGCACCTTTGGGTGCAAGCTGCAATTCGCGAGAAAGTCTTCAGAGCGGCCGCGATTGCTGGAACCCGCAACCCCGCTGATGTGGGGACGAAGCCACTCAGCAACAGCAAATTGAAAGAACTCCTTTGCAGGGCTGGAGCTATCGATGAGTTCGGGAACCCCTACGGAGAAGCCGAGCGAGAGGAAGCCGATCGCAAGAATGAAATCCGGAGAATCGTCAAGAGCAGCGGCTTCACCCCGAGCCACACCAAGAACCTACTCCCGATCCTCATGATCCTGTTGCAGGCCACTACCGTTGAAGGCTATGAGGGCTTGGGCATGGCTATGGTGGGATGGTTGTTCGAGGACGCCCTTGCAGAGCTCATGGGGACCATGGGAGCAATTTTGATCATGCTTGTCATTTTGATGAGCTTCCTCTATGGCATCTACTCTTTCACCACGGAGATGCTCAAGAGGATTTTTAAGAAGCCGCAGAAGCAATTTGTGGATGCGGCAGTGCAGACAGAGGTCCGAGTGAAACGCTATACAGCGGAAGATGAAAAGCGAGAACGCCTATGGGCCGACGAGTACACCCGCCGCTGCAGAGACCTCGAAGTTGCCTTGAGCCAGCGATGCCGTGAGCAAGAACAGTGCGAGGACGCCTTAGGCCTAGTTAGGAACCAGCTGCGCCAAGCCGAGCAAGAAATCGTCCGGCTTAGAGTTGCTGCTGGAACAAATGATCCAGTGGTCATTTGTGCGTCTCGTGGCCAGGTGTATCATAAGCCCACTTGTGGGGCCCTGCGATCAAGCAATAGTGCTCGAACGTATCAAGCCTGTCAGCTGTGCCATCGCGGATGATCGAGGGACCTCATGTGGAAAAGACGGGACAGCGCTGAATCAGCACTGTCCCGAGGCGGGGTGTTACATGAGGTGACATTCCTGCATATGTAAGCATTGCTTCAGAGACATGTACGGCAGCCCTTTTGTTCAGCGGTGCAGAAAACATTTGGTGTGGAGCCTCAGAGAACCAAGGACGTACGCACCTGCTCGAGGTCTCAGCGACGCTGGACGGCATCATGGAAGCTTGGCCGGTGCCCGGTGCCGGTGAGGGTGGCGACTCGGAGCTTTGCAGAGGTGCACCGGGCCTGTGGCATCCTGAAGCGATGGCCTCGGATCCAGCGGTCCTTAGTCGGGCAGGGATCCCCCCGGCTGACGTCTTCTGCCTTCGAGCAGGTCGTTTTCAACGAAGACCGGATTCGGCTTCATAGCGTCGCCGGAGCTTCTTGAGGCTGTGCCACGTGCCACAGGATTTACCTCTGAGATAGAGAGTCCTCGGTGCAAACGTTGAATCCTGCCCTGATAGGTGTTCGAGACGGACGTCTTCGTGTCACTCAGCTTAGGTCACCAGGGAACCATTGCTGTTCCCCATGCGGAATTCAGACGGACACTGACAGAGGCAGAGTCAGTATCCAAGGCACTCGAATCAGATGAGACCATATGCCGCCGTGCTGGCACCAGGGACCAGCCAACTCCGTCTTGACACGGTAGCATGAAAGGCTGCAACACAGAAGCTGTGCAGATAAAGGACTCCGGTGACCTTTGCTGTGGCGTTGGGCAAGGAGATGCATCTGAGCCACGCCAAATTAGATTCGTCGCTACCGACGCATCATGACACCACAAGTCAGAACCAGCATACAGCTTGCTCTTGCAGGAGAACAAGCCGCAGGCGCCAGGTCCTTGTCCAGGTGATGAAACACCAGAAAACGATTGCAGAAAAACGAAAGTAAGGCATCACGGGTGACCTAAGTCAATTACAGTCAAGGTTTGATGTTCAGCCGTTGGACGGAGTGCCGCGGCCTCAAGTACTTGCGAACTCGTTGCATCACTTGTCCTTGCCAGCATCGACAAGGCTGGCACAGACAGCCCACAGTGCCATCTTCTCTGGTCATGGCGAAGCTTTGTGGGCATCAATGAGTGCTGGCTGCATGGTCGGCGTGGGAGATATGTACCCAGGCCTCACTCGTGCCGAGAAGCCTTCCACTTGATGACAGACCTCGCTTGACAGCCGCAGGCGGCTCCTGTGGCCCGCGGGGAAACGCGCTGGTTTCAAGTGCAAAGAGAAAGTGGCAGGAGTTTTGACATGGTTCTTTGAGAAGAAGTGCGGACCTACTCGTGCTTCTCGTGGTAATGCTAGTGCCTCTTTCAAAGCGACCAGCTTTCAGGTTTCTGTTTCGTTGCTTTTCCTGCGTCTGGCCCGTCGCACCTGGTGCTTGAGAGGATGCTGATGCCGAGCTCGGCCACTTCATGGGAAGGACGGGGCAGCAGATGGAGACATTAGGGGGCGTTAGCGGCTGCTTTGGAAAGTGCTCTGCTGTGTGGGATTGAGTGTGCCAGGATCAAAGCCTTCAATGCCCAAAAAGGGTTTGGCTTCATTGTGAGCGAGGCATCCGCGGCTTTCCTCATATGGCTTGCGGGCTGCTTAGGTTTGCCCGGTTGTCCGTTGCTTTGTTTCCGTTGTCGTGAATGGTCACTCTTAGGCTCCTTACAGCAGGAGGGGCTCTACTGGCACCTGGGGCACTTTGTTTAAACTCGCAGGAGCTGGCCAGCTTGGGATATTTGGAGGACGTCTTCTTGCTGGCCAAGGATGCGCCCAGACCGACTTGTGAGGCCGAGGGCCGCGAATGGCCGCGAGGGGTCTGAGAGCCCAGATGCGGGAACTTGCTCTCAGGCTGGCCACGTCGTGGCCTTCAGGGCGTTTCTGAACGGCAGGGGCCACCCACAAGCCAAGGCAGGGACGGGGCATGAAAAGGTTCGGGGCATTGGGTCCAGGCTCGAGCTGCCTGTTCGGGCTTGTCCAGGACGTGGAATTGCGATGACTGGCAGGGTGTCTTTCATGGATCTTGAAATTAATATCCTTGGGAGTCAGAGCTCACAAAGTGGCTTTGCAGTCTCACACTGTGCTGGTTCATAGGACGGCTGCCTGTGGTTCGTGCAGAGGTCCTGTGAGACATCAGCGGTGTGGCCGAAGTGTTTAAGCGTAGAAGTTGACGAGATCTCCGAGACACCGGTGCAAAGCACCAGCATTTCCCTGAGCAAGCTAGACACAATGAGAAATGGCGTGTGAGGCTCAAGGCTTCTGGATTTGAAGGATCAGCTGGCCATGTGCAAATTTCGGCATAATCTTTTCTCGTATGCTAGAGGGGTTGACATTCCCAAAGGCAGACCCAACGTGCTGTGCCTGCTGCATGAGCGCACTTCTTTTCTATGACGTTCGGCTGAGCACTGATGGAAACATGTGCACGCTTCCTTGCCGTCTGGCTCGGAGTCTTTGGAGGTTGATCCCCAAAGATTGCTTTGGGTGGTCAGAGTCTTATGCTTGATCAGATCTTGCTGGCTGCGATCGGACAGAGTGGCCATCAGCGCAGGTGGGCCATGCACACTCACAACACCCTGCGTTACGATGGAGAGGCTTCCGGCCGCTAGGCTTTGAAGCGTGGTGTTCGTGCCGCTCAGTCCCTCAAGGCCCTTGGCCTCGAGACGGTACAAAAGTGGATTGAGGACAAGAGCTTAAAGAAGAGGCGCGGAACTCTTTCTGTGCGAGCTCTTGTTTCGCCGCTGTTTCTATCCGCAGGTGCGAGCAGATCGAGTTAGTGTCCAGGAAGGTGAAATCCGAAGTCACACAGCTGTTTGTTTCCCAGATGCTCCGGTCGCTCCTTTACACCTGCAATGGTCAGCACAGCTTGAAATGCGGCCACAAGGCTCAGTGTCTTCATTTTCCAGTGCAGGCATTGTCGGTTCCTTCAGAAGCTGCAATGCATCGAGAGACTATGGACAGAATTGAACTGTGTGAGGCACCTACACACCTTAATTCTGGCAAACAATCCCATCGGAGATGATGGCCAGCGGCTTGGAGTGTATCAAGCCTGCAACTTCATCTTCATCGCATGTGATTACCCCTCCACCTGGCTGAGTTTCGTATGGTAGGCTCGAGCCGGGCCTTCGGAAAAATTAGATTCGTCCGGTTTCCCAGGTCTGGTATTCAGGTCCCAAATCAGGTCAATTTCAGGATCAAGCCTCGACGACCCGATTCGAGGCGACCCGATCCGTTTCTTTCCCTAACTCCAACCAACTTGATCGACCTGACCCACCCAACTTGACGCTCAGCCAGCCTATTCCGCACTCCACTCCACTCCACTCAATCTCACTCACTCACGAACTCGCTCCCTGAGTTTGTATGGTACATGGGAGTTCCTTGACCTTGCGGGGGCAGCCCTCTACAGACTCGCATGCCGTCGCTACTAGAAAGACTGCCGTGGAACTCGAATTTCAGTTTGGGGGTTGCCTCAGAGTGGATTTGTTGACAGCTGCTGTTAACCCCCGTGTTTTTTTCGTGCCGGACTCTTTACGCCTTCGCTGGAGGTGTCGCCACTTTGTTCACTCGCTCACTCTCTCGCTCACTCTCTCGCTCACTCGCTCCTCGCTCACTCCGCTCCACTGCACTCCATACTCCACTCCACTCGCTCGCTCCTTCTCTCCTTTGCTCCTTCACTCCGTCGCGTCTTCGCTCACTCTCATTCGCTCGTTCACGCACAAGCGCAACTATTTCGCTTGGGAACTGAACCATGCAGGCATTAACATTCTGCATTTTCCGCTGAGTTCTTACAGCGATCATCAAGCCGAGCCAGGCTTCAAATAGCAAAACTGATTCAGTAGGGTCGCACCAAATATTGGTTCGGTACATCAGCGAGGCAAAAGCAAGCATTGTCAGTGGAAGCTTTTGCTAAAACAGAGCATCTCCCATCAACAGTTGCTATTGCAGGCGAGACAAGTTCAGTCGGGTGCCATGCTGTTTCCGCAATGAGAAATCAGAAGCGTTTACACTCTTATCCATCGAAGGCATTGATTCGTCCACACACGATAACTTCAACCACGGCTGCTTACTATTCTTACTCTTCACTCGTGCCAATCGAATGGACTAAGCAAGTTCATCAGCCTAAGTCACTACCGACTTCAAAGTGGCGTCCCCTCTTGAAGACAGCAGGCTCAGCAAGCCTGTCATCCTACGTCTTCTCCTATTCTTTCCTCAAATGAATGTGCATGCTTGTTGATTTCCGAGGTGCCGAGTCTCTGGCTTGCTACATGCAAATCCGAAAGCAGGTCCGGGGTCCGGGTGTGTGGGCGGGTTTTATCACCAGCTTTGGAGTCGCAGTACGCGACGGCAATGGCCTTCAGGACGCAGCTTGCGCAGTCAGGTTTTTGGATCTGAGCGGTCTTCGCCCCAGTGCTCGAAATTTGGGTGCGCTTCGGCATGGTGTGTGTTCCTCCCTCTGAGGTACTCGCTTGACGGCCGACTCAGTCGGTCACGTCGCGAGCGCCTTTATGGGCCAGTGGGACGCCGGCGAGGCGGCAGGGCGCAGGGCTGTGGCTTCTGTATCAGAAACTTGTCTGACCGTAGCCTTGCAAGCACCTTGCCCTTTATGAAGCGCGTCCTTTCAAAGTAGTTGTTTTCAATCCGCTTGCCGCAACCCTGGCCATTCATGCAGCAGAGGACGCCGGTTGCAGTTGAATGGAAAGTGCATGTCCATTCCATTACGGCACAACGCTCAAAGTCAGGGTGGCCGCTGTCAGGATTTCTTTGCCGATTCGTACTCGAGATGACCCACAGGCACCTCCAGCACAGCCACCGTCACCCTCTGATGCTGCCCGGACAAGATAAGTGTTGGAATGTGCACGGAACTGTGTGCATATGGCTTCACGCCACAAGTCCACCGGACGGCACGGCCCTTTTCCTTCCTGCTGTGTGTGGTCCCGAGGCTTTCTTCAACCCAGAAGGTGGCAACTGTGGCAACTGTGGCAACTACAATCCGGCAGTTCCAGCTGCAAGCTCCGTTCTCTCGCCAATGGCGGCGTACTTTGATGGCCCCGCATCGTTCTTCAACAGCTCAGGCTCCGGAGCAATGGGCTCTGATGGACGTCAGTCACAGGTAGGCCACGAGGCCCTGCCACAGGCGGCCCCGCCGACTCAAGAACCGCACAGAGCTTCACAGACACAGAGAGCTCCAATGATGCATGCGCCAATCTGCGTGCAGCCTGGGATGGCAGCTCCATTCATGCTACATCCACCTCAGAACATGCAAAGTGGTGTGCCCGTCGCACCGGTTTCACCTGGCTTGCAGCCACCGATGTGTGGCATGGGACCAACCCTGCTGCAATCCCGCGCTCCATCCCAGAGCCAGGCAAAGAAGAAGGAGAGAGACTCAGAGCAGAAACGATCGCAGGGCCGAGCTCCATGCCCCATCGCCGTGTACGTGGACCTGTCCTCACTCCGTCTTCGCGACAAGAAGTAGGCAACGTCCAGTGGCTGCACGCTGAGAGGGTTATCTGGGTATGCAGTGCGCCTTGGCCTTTTTCATAATTCCAGAGTGCGTCTCCAGGGTGCAGTATGTTGGATGCAACGGAGAGCATACCGAGGTTGAGAGATTCCTCAGTTGCCTCCGGTGTGACAACCACCCGGTGGCAAATGTGCTGCACATGCCAGAGCAGTATCACCTACCTCAAGATGAGAATGAAATTAGTAGTAGATGTTGACACAAAGCTCACGAAACGGCTGGAACAGGCCTGTCCCAAAGCTGGGACTATAGTCATGCACACTGCTCTCTTGCTCATGCCAGTTCAGAATGCGAGGATGCCTGTAGACCAGTTCTGGGCAGGAGCAAGCTAGCACCGTCTATCTGAGGGCTTAGCATCAACTACGGCTCTGCGCTTTGCAGACAGGGTTGAGCAGCCCATCCACACAAATTCCCGACCTTTTGCGTCTGGGGTGCAGGGCATTTGATGCTAGTGAGATATCTGGCCAAACATACTACACTGCTGCTAGTAAGCCAGCAAGCTATACGTTGATTCGGATTTTGAGATGTCGCGCTTATCACCATTGCATAGGGGGAGGACCCACCTGTTTGGCTTTTGTTGAACTCAGTCCTGCTGAGTTCAATCTCAAGTGTGTGTGGATTGATAGACTGCTTCTATTTCGACAGGGATACAGCAGGTGAGAATAACCGGCAAAGTGTTTGTGCATGTGTGATCTGTTGGTACCAAGTCATTCAATCCCTCTGCTTGGGGGTCAGCGGCATGACCAGTAACGAGGCGTGCTTGCTTGACTGCTGTGCTTGTAAAGCTTGCGCACCAACTCTGTGCCCCTGTGGCCGGAGACTCCTTGGTGGCTGTCCTCCTTCACTCCGGTGAACCGGTCCTCATGGATCTATGGAAAAAAGCCCGCTGCCTCGCAGTTTTCTGTTCATGTCGCGACAGGCTTCAGGTCAGGGCCCCGAGATTTCTCCTGGCAGGAACATGTGATCGAGCAGCACAGTTGCAGAAGCGCCTCTTCAGGTGCAAGACTGCACCGGCGCTTGGCCAGAAACACATCGATTGTCTGGCCGCTGCGCATATAGTCGAGCAGAGTCCGTATAGTGATGTTGTGTGCCTTCCTCGATGTCATGTTTTTTTTCCGTCTTGCGTCGGTCGGAGGTGCTCAAGCCTTCTGGCAGGCCCCTAGTCAGACTGCAAGTGTTCTGCCAGGTGCTTGTGTGCCTGTGCTGGATCTTTCGCACAACGCATTAGAGGCCGGAGTTGACATGCAAGCTACAGGGCCTTCGATCTAGTCCGCGATGGGCTGTCTGCCCGAGTGAGCTGTCCCTGTCCCGACCAAGGATGCTGGAGTGGAGGCAAGCTTGGCTGGAGATGTGTTGGTCATGTTCGCAGAAAGCAGCCCCAGCCTAGCGATAATGTAGTGTTACTAGTGACACTGCTTCTACGACTGCTGCTAACTATAACTAACTAACTAACCAACCAACCAACACCAACCAACGATCGAACGAACGAACGAACACACGCACGAACGCACGCGCGCACGAACGAACGAACGAACGAACGAACAGTACCGGTACCGGTACCGGTAGGTACCAGTAGCCGTACTGCTACTGCTACTTCTACTACTGCTACCGCTACTGCCACTGCTACTTCTACTACTGCTGCTACTACTACTACTACTACCACTACCACTGCGGCTAATGATAGTAGTAGAAGAAGTAGTAGTAGTAGTAGTAGTAGTAGTAGTAGTAGTAGTAGTAGTAGTAGTAGTAGTAGTAGTAGTACTACTACGACTACTATCGCCCCTGCCACTTCTTCTGCTGCTGCTACTACTACTACTGCTACTGTTACTGCTACTGCTACTGCTACTGCTATTTTTTTCAATTGAACGCTGCGCGAGCGTGCTCTGCGCTTTGCGGGCGCCTTTGGTCTCGTGCACTCGTGAAACTGCTTCTAGCATGCATCGCTCATACCTCTCGAATCAGCTCAAACTTGAAAAACTACAGCTACAAAAGCTTCCTCCTCCGACACCTTGGAGTGAACAGACGCGTCCATCTGTGCACCTGTCACAACAATTAGGCCGTACCTCAGACGAAGCCGACACCTGGAGTATCCGTCTCGTGGCGCCCCACACGGATTACTCATGTTGAAGACAGAAGGCCGTAAGGGTCATATGCCCATGACCGCATGTACCTGAAAGCATCTCCGATGGAGTGAGGCTGTTGGCAGCTTGGACGTGGGCAGCTCTCTGATGCAGCGATGTGCTGTTTTAAGCAAGGTTAGCTCGCGGTTCACAGGCTTCCGAAGAGATTTGCTAAGCGTCGGAAGAGTTCCGAATTCCCAGAGTCTGTGACATAAGGGATCAAAGAGTCTGTGACATATCTCTACCCTCACTGGTCATGACCTTTCGGCCACTGCTGGGAGTAACTGTGCCAGGACCACTGCTGCCACCAGTCCCAGTCGTCTTCTTGAGAGGAGCGTGCCTGCCTGGCCCACTGGGTCGAGGATGAAGAGGAGGGGGCATCGCGCTGTCGCTTGCCCTCTGTGTCAGCCTCTTGCATCTGTGGGCGCTTGTTAGGGGCAGCAGCAGCCAGTTTGGCCATGCGCTTGTCTTCCTCGTGCCCCTTGTCATGCTGAATCCGCATCTTCATGATGGAGTAGGCATCTTTGTTGGGTTTGACCCTGAAAACACGAGCTGGGAGTCCGGCTGATTTGGCCGTCTCATTGTAGACTGCCACGATGGTAGTGGCGATCATGTTGAACTCGACCCACGAGGGGAAGTGCTGCTGAAAGTCCTTCTCGTCCCACATCTTGTTGAAGCAGGCATGAATAAGGCCATGCACCTTTGTGGGGGCATCCAGCTCACGATAGGCTCCTCCCGGACCTGTGGCTATAGTGACCTTCCCATCGCTGGTGAGGACCCGCCTCACCGACATGGCGATGTCCCATGTGAGGCCTGTTTGTGTCCTTACTGACTTGATGGCAGAGAACAGCGGGGGAACCTCGCGGAGTGCGTCCATCCTGGTAGACCAGAGGGTCTGTTGCTCATGGTTGGTGAGGCCGCCGAGAATGACTGGAGCCACCAGGATATTAATGGAAGCCAAGGCCCGAATCCAGTCCTGGTGGGACTGGGAGCTCAGCAGTTGAGCCAGCTCCTGCCGCGTGTATCGTACTGTCTGTTGTGGAGCCGGCTGTGGAACATAGCCAACGGGTGCCGCATTGGTTTCCGGAGGCTCATATGCTGACGGGGGACGGGGGGAAGGAGGAGGGGGCGTGTGGGAGCGCGCAGCGGCCTGGGTGACAGGGGCAGGGGAAGAGGCGGACTTGGGAGGGTGCGGAGGGATCGGGGAAACAGGGATAGCCGGTGGGGGAGCAGGTGCTGCCGAGGAGGAATTCTCCGGAGGCTGGGGGCATGGGGTGGGCACCATGGACGGTGGGGCCTTAGCCGGAAGCGCTGGGGCCGCCTTCGGTGCTTCCGCCTGGCTTGCCTTGAAAGCCGCCTTTTCAGCCGCTGAGGAAGTGAAAGGGCACGGGGGGGAAGGCGGCGGCTCAAAGCCGGCTGCTTTGTCTGTTCCTTTGGTGCTTTGGGGGAGGGGGAGGAAGGGGTGCGAGGGATGCCGACAAGTCGCTTGGTGCCGCAGGTTGTGACACCGGGTCGTGCTTCTGCGTGACAAAGTGGTTTTTGAGGCCGTGGCCAGTACTGAACTGGATCTGTCGGTTATGCTTCCGGCAGTGGAGGCAGCACAGCCACATGGATCCTGATACTTCCATTTGTCCCAAGCCGCGAGGGATGAGCTCCAGCACATCCTGCTCTGTAAGATCTTGGTTATAGTGATGGGTCTCACGGACTGTGGCCATGAGCGCCGCAAAGGAGTTGTGCTGGATGCTGTCTGCCACATAGGTTTCAATATCCTCCTGAGTAGGAGGAGGAGGAGCTGATGTGGCGGTTGCCGTGGTCTGTGACCTAAGTGGCTGAGGTGAGCTGTGCTCTTCAGGTCGATCGGACTGGATTTCCAGGGAGATGTCGGGTAGCTGGCTCTGCAGCATGCGATCGGTTCGTTCTTTGGTGGTGGGGTCTCCCTGAAAGCCCTTCATCCACTTCCAGCACCTGGTGTAGGCGACTGTCGTGTTGTTGGCTGTCACAAAGTAGTGGCCATCGTTGTCATACTTTTTGTTCTTCACGCGCTTGTCCCAACGCTCCGAGAACAGGTAGATGGGGCCAAACTTGGCGGAAACATTCCAGCCCGCTTGAGGGGAATGACCAAGGTCTCGACTCAAGATCTGCCAGAGAAATTTGCAGAAGATCATGTATTCCAGGTTCGCCTTCGCTGTCATAACCTGACGGCTGAAGGCGTGCTGTATGGCCTCCCTCATCAAAGGGTGCCTGGGCTTGCCATAGATGATGCCTTGAAAGATGTGATCTCCTTTGACTCCAATGGCCATGACCATGAACTCCTTTGGGAGTTGGCCAGGTGGGGAGGGTCTGTGACCCACTTCACCTGCCTTCGTTGAGTGAGCTGTGCTCCAATCTGCTGCTAGGAGCTGCAGTACCTGTTCCCAGGGTACCACAAAGCCACATTTGATATCGACATAGAGGCCGCCGTGCTGGTAGTGGTAGACGTAGCGGAACACGTCAGCTCTATGAGCAGGTTGACTGAGGCGGTCCAGCAGATTGGAGCCGTACTTTCCGGCAAGTTGCCGCAGGGTAGCCCGAAGGATACCATCGTCACAGAATTTGCGGGTGAAGCCTGCAAACATTTTGGCCGCAACTTGGGCTGGCTCCGGCTTGTCGTCGTGGACATAGGTCTGGAAGAGGAGGGCCGGGACGGGGGCGGCCTCCCATTCTGGGAGATGCATGAAGCGCATACCCCAGGGGCCATGTCCGTACTGCATGGCAACCTCCGAAAGATCTCGGACAGTTCGGCATTGTGACAGAGCCTGGGCTGCAAGCATTTCGACATGCATGTCCTGCTGGCGAGCATTCCAGCCAGCAACCACGAGGACAGGCAGTCCTGGGGTGTTGCGCATTTCCTCAATGGCTCTTGTGACAAGTGCCGGGATGACGATGTCCGCAACATCGGGGCGGAAGTGGAGATTCTTGGAGTTGTAGAGCCATTCTACCCCTCCTACACCAGGTATCTGTGCCAAATCCATGATTTCCTGATTGGGCAGGTTTTTGTCCGCAAAACCATATTGGACCCTGCCGTCTATCAGGTAGTCATAATTGACTTGCTTCTCCGGGCGCAAGCTTCTTGACAGCGGAATGAAGCGAACGTTGATTTGTCCATCAAGGTGGCTCTCCAAAATGGAGGCCACCGGCTGACTCTGAACCGCCGCCTTGAATTTGTGCGGCCCAAAGAGGCCAAATTGCCAGTGGAGGAGCTCCATGATGGAGGGGACGCTGCTAGCAGAAATGTTGAGGGCGGCGCCTGGACAGCTTAAGACCTGTCCCGTCAGCAATGGGAACACTCCGTACGTATGTCCCCGCAGCATGTGCTGCAAGGTGCTATCGCTGAGCACCAGAAAGGGTCCCAAACTTGGAGGGGTGTCCATGGTCTCAGCTGTAGCTGATGGGCCAGAGTCTGTGACACGCGGCCAAGAGGTGAGCTGTGCTCTTCGCGGAGTCGCAGTTTGTTCTGAAGTCTTAGCTTCTGCGAGGCATGTCTTTAGAGCAAGCTGCTGTACTTCTGCTGCTGCCTACTGTATCGACAGTTCGAACTGACAGCTGCGGTATGCATGCACAGCATTACAGAGTCTTATGGCCAAGCACGAAGCTCAGGGCAACGCAGGACGACTGGAGACAAAGAACATCAGCGGAGGGCACGCGAGCAAGGACTGCTGGTGCCATGTGGTAGCTGGGGCCTCGGATTGCAGGATAGAGCAATCGATGATGCAGCAATAGCTGGGTTCAGGCATGCTGCAAGATCAATTTCTCAGGGCAGGTGGGCAACACATCTCGGACTGTGACTAGTTGGGTGGCTGTGCCACACCTAAGCGGAGGCTGCGCCATATTCCTAGCATGAGTCGATGACATCCCTGTGGCTCACAAGTTCTCAAAGGAGACTGTAGTAGTGGTCATAGAGAACATTGTGAACCTCTTCGCCTCTGCTGATTGTTGCTGCTTGTCCGTCTTGGTTGAGGGGGTTCAGGAACTTCTGCACCACGACGTGCTTGCTGTGCTGAATGTGGATGGTGAGCTCTTCAGACGCGAGGTGCCACTGGGGCGTGTCAAAGGACTGGACCATGACGCGTAGGTCAAGAGACATTGCTGCCCTGGCCGTGCGGTAAGGACTTACAAAGAGCTTGTGCTGAACCAGGGGGAGCACTGCTGCGCACCAGGTTCTGCTAACCGACG